ATGGAGGATGTGCTCCCACGCGTGAGAGCAGAGATGAGCCAGGTCCACAGCCCCTGGTCACACCGTGGCGCCCTTCCTACGTCCTCTAATCTGTTGGGTCTTGGGCACTCGAGCACATGGCTGGTCCATTTCAGGAGGTTGGGCTGGGGATTCAAACCATTGTTGCCATGTGAGATTTGGCTTCTCTTGAGCAGCACATTACCACTGTACCATGGAGACAATCCCTTTTTACTTATTTTTTATGTTTATTTTTTTTTTTTTTCATTTGAGAGAGAGACAAAGAGATAGGCAGCGTCTCCAGATGCCTGGTGCACCAATTAGCCAGAATCACAGCGTGGATGAATTCAGGTCCACCTGGGACCCGAACCTTGGCCTCCCATGTGGTTCCAGAGTCACACAGCAGGGCCCTACTGCTTGCCACCACGGCTGGGCCTTGTGGTACTTTTTAGCCACTTTAATAAACAGACACTTGCTGGCCGTGCACTGGATCCGGGCGGGGCAGGGTGCAGCCCGCCTACAGCCCCTTCCACGCAGGCACTGGAAGGGTATGGGTGTCCATGACAGGAATTTTCCTTAATAACTTACTACGTGATTATCCATGAGTTTACTCCAATTCTTCTTGAACACATTTCATTTTCAATCAATTCCTACATGATGAAAATTGACTTTTCTGGCTAAGTTTCCAATGCTCTAAAACAGAACTTCCTTCCCTTGGTCCGAAAACGACCTGTTTTGAGCTTCCCAGCATGACCCCGGTTCCAGTCTTAGACGTGATGAGTAAGCACGCGTCCGCCTGCCCCCAACCCCGCCCGGCAGGTTGTCACCCAGTGGAGAAAGTCTGGACTGGGGATCAGAAAATTTGCCTTTTTTCTTCTAAAATGAGTGACTTACATGACTACGAGCAGGTCGGGTTGCCATGGCTTTGGTTTTCCCCTTCCTTGTGCATCAGATGAGAGCCATGAACACAGGACCAATGTCTGACCCAAAGAGGGTGCTGGACAAGGAGGACGCTTTGAGACAAAGGGCACGCTGTTGGCGATTTAATAACTCACCTTCTCCGTTTTATTTTACTTTATTTAAGCTAGAGGCCACATGCACCCACTGGAGAGAGCGAGGAGGTGAGAAAGCAGCCACGATGCGGGAGTTCACCCCACTATTCCCACTCCTCCACTTCTCCTTTTGAGGATGTGGCATGTGCACCCCCCACCCCTGGTGTGTCTCTCAAATCACAGTGACTGAGACTCACACCGCACAGTTGGCCACGTGGGACCAAACCACCTTAGCCACACCACGGCTGGCCCAATCGCTCGCTTACAACCAGTTTTTTGCAGCTTTTCCCTCTCCTGCTTCTCTCCTCAGATGGGATGCCCTTTGCAAGGGAAAGCCTCTCGCTCTTTTTTCAGAGATGCCGTCAGGGACTTTAATGAACATCCGCCTCAGATGTTCTCCAACTCCCCTCTAGGTACCCTCAGTGTCACATATGGGAACAAAAGTCAAGGCTAAAACATGATTTTTCTTTTAAAAGCAATAGTATAGCACAGAACACAAAACGATACTAGAAACTGTGAGGAAGGGAAGAGAAGTGCATGTGGGAATTCTTTCTGCAGACCCAATCATGTCTGTCATGTCTACTCATTAAAAATAGTTATGACCGTACTGGGGCCAGGCGGTGGTACAGCAATAAAGTGCCGTGTTCTGCCAGGTTCCTGGTTCAAGTCCGAAGCCCTCCCTGAGTACACTGGGCTCGCTCCTGTCAATGCTTTGGGGTTGGCTAAAGGCTAGGGATGGATTGTGGTATCTCTCATGCATGGAAGTGATAAATAAAGGATCTTCAAACAAACAAAAAAGTCCTTTCTATTTGGAAATGCAAAATATGACCATTTCTTGGGACCAGCAGTTGGCGTAATGGCTATGTCGCTGGACCTACATGTAGTAGACTGCAATTCAAGTCCCGGACCCAGTGGCTTAAACTCACATCGGATGTGTGTGCATGTGTGCCTGAGAGGAGAATGGAGGAGAAGGGATTGTGCTGTGGCCATCCCCCTGGGTGTGATTTCTCACTTTCTGTCTCTCTGTCTCTCTCTGTCTTTCTGGCAAGCACATGAGCCCTATAGCAAAAACCTCTAAAAAAAAATAGATAGATATGACCATTTCTGATACTATCAAATTATATCTGTAATATTATACTTATATTGGGTTGTCAGAAGAGTCACAATGTGTATTTTTTTCCTATGCAAAAATGAGTCAGGTAATACATAAGAATTTCAGTGATGGGTGGAACCAGCAGGTGGCATGGTGGTTAAGGTCCTGGACACTTCCACATGGTTGACCATGGTTCAGGTACTGGGCCTAGTGGCTTGTTTTCTCACTTTCTCTTTCTCTCTCTCTCTGTGTCTCTCTCTGGTCAAATTTTAAAAAGATATATAATGAATGAATAAATAATAATAATTTAAAAAGAACTTTGGTGATGGGGCCAGCAGGTGACGTGGGGGTGAAGGCAGCTAGACTCGTACATGGCTGACTGTGGTTCAAGGTCTGGATCTGGCAGCTGGCTTTCTCTCTTTCTCTCTCTGTTTTTATCTAGTGAGTGCCAATAGCAATTAAATAATAATAATAATAATGATAGATTAAATTAAATTAATAATTCTTTAAAAAATAAGAGAATTTCATTTTTTCACAGAGATGAGTTGGTCTGTCAGATCATACACTACCACCAAGTATATTACATGTAATTAATTCAACAAGTGTTCTAATAGCATTTATCATTTTTAAAAAATGTTTATTTCCCTGGGCCAGCAGGTGGCATGGTGGTAGTGGTGCTAGACTCCCACATGGCCAACCGTGGTTCTAGTCCCAGATCCGGTGGCTTACTTTCTCACTTTCCCTCTCTCTCTCTCTGGTGATCATATTTTTAAAATAATAATAATAATACATAAGATGAAGTAAATAATTATTTTAGAAATCATTTTCCTCACATGAAGACAGAGAGAATCACCCCCAGCAGGGCCTCATGTGCCACCATGCCCCCCGCCCAGCCCTCCAGCCAGGACCCCAGCATGCCTGGCATGTACAGAACGACCCACAGTCCTCGCTCTGGCCTCCCATCGGGACCTAGCATTGCACAGCAGTGCCCTGTCACCTGCGCCACCACAGCTGGGCCAGTATTTATCATTGTAACTGAGTGTGCAGTCAATTAAGTTTAGGAATATCGAACTATTCTAATCCTTTTTATCTTAAATTTAAGACACTGACAAGTGATCGCCCAGAGTCACTCTACCTGGTGCCAGGCTGGGGCTGGAGCTCCGGCCCCGTCTCTCACCAGGTGCCACCTCATCTCACATCCCTGGATGGAGAAGAGCGGCCCCCATTCACCGGCAGTTTCGGGCCCCGCAGTCCACATCAGCTTGCCCAGCACAATGAAGTATTTTGAGACAGGGCGAGAGCACCTCCAGTAACTTGTATTACAGTAGAATGTTATCACTGTTCTCCTTAGTTATCGTTGTCAATCTCATATTGCGCCTAATTTATAAAATAAACGTCATACACATGTATGTGGAGGAGAAGCCAGTAATAAGGAGTCCGCAGTGTCCTGGGGCGAGGTGTCCACTGGGAGTCTGGGAACTCATCCCCTGCAGTAAGGGGGTGACCAGCTCCTACCACAGCCCTTTTTTTTTTCAGCCTTTCTGATCATTTTTTTGTTTGTTTGAAAATACTCACAACAGAAGCAAAACCCAGGTGTTCGCAGAGAACCTCAGTAAGTCTGACTCCACGGTGACCCCACAGACACAGCAGCTGCTGTGTCAGTAAGTCTGACTCCACGGTGACCCCACAGTCAGCAGCTGCTGTATACCCTCCCCACCTCTGCGGTGAGGTCACCCCATCCCGAGTCAGGGAGGCTGGTCCCAGCCAGAGAGAGGTCCTGACTTACGCGGGAGACTCTTGCATCATTCTGGGCTGCACCTGGGGGCTGCACGTGTCAGGGTGGCAGGGACATGCTGTTTCCTCGGGGCCACCTCCCGCCACATCAGTCTCAGGGCTCCGGCCTTCTTCCTGAGTCCAGCATTTTTCCCCGGTGAGTACGGCCCGGGGAGCTTTCCACAGCTGCCCTCCCTCCGCCCCAGGGAAGTGAGGCATACTTTCAGAGGTGCTCTGTGCCTCATCCTGAGTGCCCCTTTCCCCTGTGAGGGGTTTGCACCAATCCCCTTCCCCCAGGCTTTATCTCCAGGCACAGGGCTTCCTGTCTGCTCCCCTCCCCGACTGTACTGATGCGCTTCATCACATCCCGAGTGTCCCTGGTCCTGCCTCACTGCGGGTGCGGCAGCAGCTCAGCCCACAGCCTTTATGAAAAATCAGGGGGCCCCACTGGAACACGGAGCGCCGTGTGGGCTCTTGTGGATCTTCTCATCCAGCCTAAACCCCAGTTTTCTAGAAGGCCACCGATGGCTCGGCCGCACCTCCCTGCAATGACCGTCACACCTGCACCCTTAGATGTCACCGTGTGGTGTGTGCGTGTGTCGGGGGAGGCTGACAGACAAGTTAGCTTACAAAGGACGGTGCACCCCCCACAGCATGGAAGAGGTCATCACTGCAGACGGGGAAGACAATTGCTCTGAAATAACACCAGAGCCGAGGAAGGAGTGAGACCCTCCACTGTCCCCGGCAGAGCGCTGAGGGGACCGGGGGGCGGTGGGGCACCCAGGACCTTCATCAGAGAACTGGGGTGGCTGGGGTGACACTCTCCAGGTGTGTGTGTGTGTGTGGTGGGGGGTGAAGGGCAATCTGGTCATCAAGAACGATGAAAACAGTCCCCAATTCTGATGCTGTGGCCCTCCAGGTCACCATGTCACAGCTATCCCCGAGAGGATGGTGACAAAGAGACTTCTGACAAGGAGAAAGCAGAACTCCTGGGGTGGACAGTTTTGCAGGCTGTGTGGTTCCTCTAACGACTAACTTTATATAGAGCTTTGTCTTTTTTGTCTTTTTTTCCTAAGTTCATTTATTTGTTGAGAGAAAGAAGCAGGTACACCCAGCAGGGGCTCGGCCCCCGGATCACCCCATCTCCCCAGCCGGCTAGGGTCACGGTCACTCAGGTCGTGTCAGGATCGAACAGAGATCAGAATCTGGGCCTTCCCACACGGCTCCATGGTCGTGCAGCGGCGCCTCACCACCGGTGCTGAGAACTTTGCCCTTTACAAACTCTTGCATGCACACTGCCACATCCGTTCCTATCCTGTAATGGGGACAGAGAGGATGTCATTCCTGGTCACCAGAGCAGGAAACAGAGCCCAGAGAGGTTAGGTGACCTGGCCGTGTCACCAGTCCACCGAGATCCGATCGGGGCTCCAGTCAGGAGGCCACGCAGCAGAGCCCCTGTGGGGCATGTGACAGGCCCAGCCCCAGGCTCTTCTAGGAGGTGGCGCCAGCCAGGGTGGAGGTCTGCGACGTGTCCGTCTGCCTTGCTACTCACAGAGCCCACCCTGCAGCAGAAACAGGCTGCTGGCATGTCGTCCGGAGGGGACCCCGTGACAAGTTCACATACCCAGTGCTTCACCACCCCTGGGCGTGCCATAGCTTCTGCACTCAGTCCTCAAGGCAGAGCAGGCTAGCAGGGCTCAAGTCTCTGCAGAATGTTCCTGAGCCTTCTTGAGGAGGAATTCCTTCCTGCTTGTCTCACTCGCTGATGGGTTGCACAAGCACACGTCTCTCGTGGGCATCTCGAGGAGTCTCAGGCACTGAGGCATGGGCACCAACTATCTCACATGGTCATCGCCCCCTGGTCGGGGAGGACATCGACCCGGGAAGCTGCAGCCACCAGGGCACCGTGCCTCACACCTGCCTCCACCCTGTCAGGCCCAGGCCAAGGACAGATCACTCTTTTTCCAGCCCCAGGGATGCCAAGGGCCAGTGTCATTCAAGTTGTCCTTCAGATGGCCCCTCTCACTGGGCTGCAAGCCCAGCCCTCAGAAGGTCGGAGCCGGAGGAGTGCAGCCCGGGGGCCAGCCTGCCTGCAGCACAGCATCTGGGGCCGCCGCTTTCCAGCCAAGAGGCTGGAGGAGGAGTGGGAGGAGGCCCACATCTGGAGCACAGCTGGCGAAGGCCGACACCCTGCATCAGCAGGACACGGTCCGGAGGTCAGGCCTTGCCTGAGGCTGTTTGCTCAGGGCCTCCTGACCTCTCAGAGGCGGTTTCCTCCCTGGTGAAATGGACCGCGACCAGATGCTGTCTTCTCTCAGGGGGATTTGGAGGGTCGGGGCTAATTTGTGAGCGTGAATTAGACTGCTGTTCCCTAGGAAGTGACTTCCATGAGAGTATAGACCAGAGAGGGAGTCGGGCCCAGGGAAGGCCCCTGGTCACCTCTGCACACCCCTCCTGGCAACCAGCTTCAGGGGATTTTGTCCAGGCCACGCCGGCCACATGCAGCAGGGCTAGAGGGTTGGCAGTACCGGGGTGAAGGGTGCAGGGAGCAAAAGCCTAAGAAGATACGACCGCAGCATTTCCCGGAACACCCCTGCCTCACCTAAACAGGAAGTGGTGCTGCGTGCTGGATTCCTATAAATGATTCGAGGTGAAGCCATAAAAGAAAATGCGTCTGAAGTGGTCCTATCCGGCTGGGCGCTGGACAAAACCAAACGCGACTGTTTATTAAACTTCTCCATCTCCACCCTCCCAGGCTGAAAGGAGAGTATGTTTCAGGCCGTGGTCCAAACATCCTCAATTGCAACAGAGCACGTCAAAGGGCTGTGACACCGCCGTCGGCACCTGTGGGCACACCCCACTGGAAGGAACATTTCAGGAACCCGATATTGCCCAGAGTTTCAGGTACATGGGCAGAGGCAGCTCAAAGACTGGCTGCCATCAACAAGTGTCCCGTTCTATGACACCTTGTAGCTGTCCTGTGTCCCCACTGCCAACTCCCTCAACCTGGCTATCATTTAATAATAAATTCTCTAGTTTCATTTAAAGGAGGGTCACAGGTCATCAGGTGATGTGGAGGTTAAGGAAGTTGGACCCCACATGGCCAGTTCCACACTTCAAGTTGCCAGGTCTGGGGCCCTGGGGGCGGATGGTCAGCCGTGCCACAGTCCCTTCTCCTCCAGTGTTCACTGTGGCAGTGGTCACAACGGTCATGATATGGAAGCAACCTGAGTGTCTGTCAAGAAATGCATGAAGGGACCGGCAGATGGCATAATGGTTATGTTGCCGGACTCCCACGTGGTCGACCATGGTTCGAGTCGTGGTTTAAAACTCACGCCAGGCATGTGTCCATGCATACCCAAAATCCCGAAAGGAGAATGGAGAAAAAGGGATTGCAGTGTGGCCATCCCCCCTGGGGGGTGATTTCTCATTTTCTCTCTCTCTCTCTCGCTCTGTCTCTCTGGCGAATGCACATGCCCTTGCAAAAAATCTCTTTAAAAAATAAAAGAGAAATGAATGAATAAGGAACATTTAGTATGTACGTGTGTGTGTGATAATGTATATATATATATACATATACACAATGGAATACTACTTAGCCATTAAAAAGGACAAAATTCTGTCATTTGACGTTAAATGGAGAGGCTGGATAACAAGATGTTGAAAGACTAAGCCAGGCACACCAAGAGAAATGCATGTTCTCCCTCACCATAGAAAGGGGGACAAATGACGTGCTAGAGTAGGGAGATGAAGCAGGGGGTGGACAGAGGGATGTCGAGGAATGAAAACAAAGTCGCATGACAATGGATGATTTAGAGTGTTAGCACCGGGTGGGGGAAGAAATGGATGGTGACAGCTCGCTGTGTATCTCAAAGCAACTTTGAGTTGGCCGAAAAGTCATGATGCATTTTTTTCTTCTTTGCAAAAATTGGCCATGACGTTCCCGATAGCCCAGTAAAAGGGAGGCTTTTGAATGTTCCCGATACAGCCACGACAAATGCTTGGGATGGCCATTATGCCAATCACCCTGATGTAATCATTACTCATTGTTTTCTTGTTCTGAAAACTTACCTTGAACTCCCACAAATATGTACAATTACTATACACTTAACAAAAAAGCAGGTGTGTACAGCTTCGGCCAGGTTCTATGCCAGGTTCCACGGTCCTGGGGGCATCCCAGGAGCCATCCCCGGGAGCACCTGCAAGAAACATGCTTCTCTTGTTTGCTGTGATCAAGCTTGCCTGGATCCCGATAAACTGCTATATTCACAGTCTCACCTGGCGTCCTTGCTGGGTCAGGAGGCCTTGTCTCAGTCAAACAGACCCTATGCCTCTAAACTCAAGCCACGCTGCAGGCCCTCTCTCCCCCCAGGACAAGGAGGACAGAGAAGACAACGTGCGTGCCGTTACTAACGTTTCTGCCTTTCCCTCCTCGTTGCTGGGTTCTCACTGCGTGCAGGGCAGCGTACCCGAGCCCTGGAGCACCGGCCTTTGCCCCCAGGCAGCTGCCAGTGTGGCAAGAACAGCTGAGAATGCGCAAGAGCAGGTGGTCGGCAAATGTCGCCATGAAGGGTATGCCGTGGACACTTCAGGCTACCCAGGCCAGGCCATCTCTGTGTTTGCTACACTGCTTTGCCACCGTAGCGTGGGATCAGCCATAGATGACGTGCAAACAGATGCACCTGGCACTGTTCTGATAAAACCGTTACCAGAGTCTGGTGAGCATGCCCAGTTTGCCAAATCCTCTGCCAGAAGCTCATGCCAGCAGGTAGGTGTGCAGGCTGGAGGTATGTGCCTGTCGCGGTGTGGCTGAGGAGGGGTTAGGACAGAGCCAGCCTTGGGGCAGAGGCGTCGGGACAGAGGCGTCGGTGTCCTGCCCTCCAGCCCTGCGTCGGTGCCTAGACCAGTGAGTGTGCTGGGAGACCTGGGTTGCATGGGGTTGCATGGGGTTGCATGGGGACTCCGAGACGAGGCTAGGGAGGGCGGTGCGTGCTGGCTCAGAGAGGCCTGTGGAGCCACACCGAGGAGTTCGGTCCTCAGCCTCAGGGCAGGGGCAAGATGGAGTCTATTTCCCAGCCACTGCTCTAGACAGTTTACAGAAATCTCCTGAAACAAGATGAGAGGTCGGTCTGATTAATCTCATTCTGGGACGGTGACACTTGCACAGAATTCACTGCTTCCCCTAGTTGGCAGAAGCAGGATTCACACCCAGATCTGCTCAACGCAGGCGGCCACTCTCTTTCCACTGTCTCCTCCTTTCGGGCGCCAGCCCTGGGGAGCTTTCTCCTCGACGGACGTAGGAAGGGGTTGGAGAACACCAAGTTTCTTAGCGCTGGACAGGACTTCAAGGGGTCCAAGAAGGAGACTGAACCCCTGGAGGGATCTGGAGGAGGAGGAAGGGTATGGGGGTCCCTCAGCCTCTCCGGGCCCTATGGTCTTCCCATGTGGCTTTTCCTCCTGGCTGACCTGGAGCCCATGGGAGGGGCAGCTGCTCTGCTCTCCTTCATGACTGAGGTCACACAGAGAGAGGAATTCCGGAGATTCCTGCCGGGGAGTCATCATGGCCTCACCTCCTCCCTGCGCCTGCTTTACTCGGTTGCTTAGTTACAGAACATTTTAATTAATTCCACCCTCTGAAAGTTGGAGAAATCCTCAAGAATAGGTCTATTTTCCTCTACTGTATGTGTTAAGTGTTCGGTCGGTTCTTAATACATACTTGTTGCGTTACACAATTAATATAAAAGTACCTCCTGTGCATGAAGGCCTTTGGTGGAGTTCTTCACATCAGCTCTGCACCTAGATCTTCTGAAACTGTTTTCTGAACATTCACCCTCTACAGAGGTCCAGCTCCTTGCTACTCAGCATGTGGGCTTGAGCCAGCAGCGCCAGCACCAGCTGGGAGCTTGTTAGAAATGTAGCCTCAGCCCCTTCCTCGGACCATCAGAGCAGAATCTTTAATGAGATCCCAGGGGATGTGCACACACGTTACAATGTGAGAAACACTGGGGACCTGGCATGGAGTCCTAGCCAGAAACGATCACCAACCCCGATTCCATTCCTTAGACAACCTCCAAAGTGATACTCTATATATTTTGAACCCGATTGTATTCTGTCCTAAGACATTATCAGCCCCTTCAAACAACTTTCCCTTCCAAATTCTGTCCCTTGAGTATCTGCCCCATCCTTGCTTTTCAGCAGCAATGGTCGTGGATGGTTCTGTTTTGTTTTTGTTTTTAATTTTGCCAAGAAGCATATGTGATTGGGGGAGAGAAAGAGAGGGTAAAGAAAGCCCCCCCCCTCCACGGGGGTGACAATCCCTTCTCCTCCATTTCACCCTCCTCTCAGGATTTTGCAAATGCACGCACATGCGTCTGGTGTGTTTTTCAAGCTGCCATGTCAGGGATTCGAACCACGTAATCGGCCTTGTGGGACCAGCTGCCTTTACCACCACAGCACTGGCTGGCCCAAATAGGTACACTTTTGAGGGCAATGGCAGTTAGATAGGTAAGAGGAAGTGAGAGTTAAAACATTCTTAATGACGTTTGAGGGTGAGCGCCAACCACCACACCTTCTCCATCTGAAGCAGGCTGTGTTTGCCCTGTGTTCTGTTTCTTCATTCCTTTGCCAAGACTTGAGACACAGAGTGAAGGTCGAGTGGCATTTCCAAGGTTACACAGCTAGTAAAGTGGCAAGAGATGGGGCAGAGGAGCGAGGAACACGTAAGGATGGAGGGTCCCCTGATTGTACCCTGTCCCTGGAAAGAAGACAGACGCCCTATCACCCAGCTCTGCACTCAGCCGGCCCTCCCTGCACCACAGCAGCCAGGCGTCTGTGTTCCTAGCTGTCACAGGGGCTTCTTTCAGAACCATGGCTTGGGGGAGAGAGGATACCAGCTTTGGAGCCAAGCGCCCCTGTGTGGGGGCCAGACAGTGGTGCAGCAGCAAAATGTGATGCTCTGTAAGGCGATCAACATGGGAAGGTTCTCGGTTCAAATCTGGAGGCCTCCCTGAGGATGACAGGCACATGTGTGCCCAGGGTCCAGGTTGGCCGAGGCTGGGGGTGGGTAGCAGTGTCAAGACTTCACTGGGGGTGCCACCTCTCTCTCTCTCATGTCTCATTTATGGAAGAGATAGATAAAAACAAACAAAAAACCCCTTTTTAAAAAATTTGTCAGAGGCTGTACATGCTCGCTGGAAAGAGACTGAGAGAGAGACAGAAAAAAAGTGAGAAAACACCTCCCATGGAGTATGGTCACCCCACAATCCCTTCTCCTCCATCTCCCCCTTCTTTCAGGGCCAGACAGTGGTGCAGCAGCAAAATGTGATGCTCTGTAAGGCGATCAACATGGGAAGGTTCTCGGTTCAAATCTGGAGGCCTCCCTGAGGATGACAGGCACATGTGTGCCCAGGGTCCAGGTTGGCCGAGGCTGGGGGTGGGTAGCAGTGTCAAGACTTCACTGGGGGTGCCACCTCTCTCTCTCTCATGTCTCATTTATGGAAGAGATAGATAAAAACAAACAAAAAACCCCTTTTTAAAAAATTTGTCAGAGGCTGTACATGCTCGCTGGAAAGAGACTGAGAGAGAGACAGAAAAAAAGTGAGAAAACACCTCCCATGGAGTATGGTCACCCCACAATCCCTTCTCCTCCATCTCCCCCTTCTTTCAGGATTTTGGTCATGCACACACATGAGCCCAGCATGTTTTCTACGCTGCTGGGTCTGGGACTAGAACCACACGGTCAGCCACGTGGAATCTGGCCGCCTTCGCCACCACGCCCCCTGCTGGCCCCAAACAGCCCTCATTTGAATCTTGGTTTCGCAGTTTTCCAGTACTGTGGGCTTTGGTGAGGCACGTGTTTTCTGTGCCTGCGCATTATTTTAAAAATGGGCAATATTCTCTTTACAGAATGACTCAGCGTTAGAGAAAGAATATCTCCTGGCACGTTCAGCAATTTCTGTATCTGGCACGACATCCCCGTTATGCTCAGAATTGTTCCCAGTCACCTCCCAGCAGTGCCTGTCCACACGGGTGCCTTGCTCCTAAACACTCGCTGGCCCCCAGCTACCCTGAGGGGAATGGGCAAGCGCCAGCATTCAGGGGCTCCCCCATACGGTCCCCACCCCGCCTTCCAACTTTCTGTCCTGCTTCTCCTTTAATGAAGCTAAAGAAATCTGATTTTCTTACCTTGAACTTATTTAAATACGCTTTCTTCGACAAATACACGGATTAGTCCGATAGGTTGTTAAGAGTGCTGGGTGACTTAGGAATTCAGCCACTTAATGGACGCCTCCTCATGTGCCTATTTGTGGAATTTTTATTCATTAACAAAGACTATTTCCTACTTCAGAGAGCCTTACCTTTTTTTCACTAGTAAAAGAAACCGAAGGTCATGATCGCCAAAAGTATATTTAAAATTTAACCTAAATTCCAGTTAGACAACTATTTCCAGGTGGAGCCGACCTCGTGCCCCTCCTAATAATTCCTCTCACTATTTTGCAACATAGATGACTTCATCCTGCTAATTGTGCACGTTGTTATGGGATTTTAAGCTGATAAGATTCTGAGTATAGTTCTGGTTAATATTTTTATTCAAGAAACTTAAGTTTTAGTCTCTGCCCACTTTTTTTTTTTCTTCCCTGTACGGTTCATGAACTCACCAGAGAGAAAAAGAGAGAGAGAGAGAGTGACGGAGAGAAAGCACCCCCCGCCCCTGGGGATGGCCACGCAAGGTTCCTTTTCCGCTAACCTCTCAGGATGTGAGACACGCTTGCACATGCACCAAGTGTGTTTTTCAAGCTGCAGGAGCTGGGTCTTGAACTGTGAAGTTGGGCCTGTGGGATCTAGCAGCCTTAACTTCCACACCACCTGCTGGCCCTCAGGTCATTTTCTAAAACCACCAATGTGCAACCCCGCACATAATAACTCGCTCATCAAGGTTCACCGACTGATGCCGAAGCCAACAGGTGAGAGGTTGTGTGAAAAGATTATCTGGGGGCGTCGGGATCATCCGCAGATTGATTCTGAACTGCGCAGAGAAAATACCCCTTCAAATGGAGAGGCCTGGTAGGCACAGCGTCAGGCAAGTGATCAAGAATAGCTTGCCCAATGTCGGCCGACCGGGCTTACGTGCCTTGTGATGCGATCGTTTGTCCTCTCACCCGGAAGCACAGCCTAACTTCCAGTTCCCTCAAAGTGCAAGCATAGAGAACAAGTTAAATGGCACCAAGAGGTCAATGAGAAAGAGGGCCAGGTGGCATGGAGCATAAAGTTGCTGGATCCCACTTGGCTGACTGTATAGTTCGAGCCCCCGACCAGGCTACTTAAAATATCATGCCAGGTGTGTATTGGTGTATGCGCCAAATCTCCTGGGGGTGAGTTCTCACTTCTCTCTGCCTTCAGCCAGAACATGTGTCCTATGGCAAAATTTAAAAAATATAAAAAAGAGAGATCAAGTTGATAAATCTAGGGAAATCCAAATTCTAGAACATTCCACAATAAGGGTCTTGAATTTATCAAAAAATTATCCTGGGAGGGAAGGGGCATGAAGTTTTGCTTGGCTGTAAGGGGTCAGAGAGCATATGAGAGGATTTTAAAAGTTTGTGGGGACAAAAAAAGAGTGTAGAAACTGGAGTAGAACTGTGAGGCTGGGCCCAGTGGCCCAGTGAGGAAGGGAGCCGGATCCCACGTGGCCAACCGAGTGGTTCACGCGTCAGCCTCGGTGGCTTGACAACACTCCAAGCACAAGGGCATGCCCAGCTCCAGGCCGGGCGGGGAGTGGTGACGGGACTGTGGCCTGAGCGCACCTCACTGCACGGAACTTCCTCCCCCTCGCTGTCTGCCTCTGGTCAGTACATGTGCACTCTGGCAAAGTTTTTTAAAAATATACATTTAGGGGCCAGCAGTTAGCATAATGGCTATGTCGCTGGACTCCCATGTAGTCGACCGCAATTTGAGTCCCAGACCTGGTGGCTTAAACTCACACTGGGTATGTGTGTGTGCGTGCCCAAGATCCCGAGAGGAGAATGGAGGAGAAGGGATTGCGGCATGGCCATCCCCCCTGGGGGGAGATTTTTCTGTCTCTGTCTTTCTTGCTAGCACATGTGCCCTATAGCAAAAAATACTCTCAAAAAAAAAAAAAAAAAAAGAAAGAAAAAGAAAAAAAAGGACACATTTATTTTGGTGTAAAAATATTTGGAATCCATGCATAGTATTTTTTGTTCTTTTTTTGTTTGTTTTGTTTTTTTGTTTTGTTTTGTTTTTGTCAAATACATTTTCTATTTGCTTTTAGGAGTTTCCTTGTAATCACAAGCAGTTGCAGGACACGAAGCTGTAAAAGACACCCTGGGGCCTGGCGGTACCGGAACAGCATTGGCACAATGCTCTCTACCACATGCACTAATTTGATCCGTATGGAAGGTCAGGGTTCTAGTCCCAGGTGGATTCCCACATGCTGGGCACACGTGTGTCTGATCCTGGCTGGAAAGGCAGGAGAGGATTGCACTGAGATCCCATCGAGGGTGTTCGTCTTTCTCTCACTCATGAAAAGAAACAGGTTTGTTTGTTTGTTTTTTAACAAAGACTTTCAGGTCCAACAGGTGGCATAGTGGTTAAGGTTTGGGCTCCCACATTGCCAAATGTGGTTCAAGTCCTGGATCTGATAGCTCGCTTTCTAACTTTTCCTCTCTCACTCACTCTGTCTCTCCCCAGTCAAATTAAAATAGATAAGTAAAGTTAAATAAAACAACTCTTTAAAAAAAAAAAAAAGACTTTCTTGGGACAACTAGGAAATTTGAATATGGGTCGTATACAGACGCCAATACTAGTCAGGACTAGTTCTCCCAAGTCCGACAGCAGTACTGTTGTCACGTGGGAGGCTGTTCCTGCTCGCAAACATGTATGGGCATATTTAGGGACACACGGCCTTTTGTCTACAATCTACTTCCAAAATATAAACATGCACTTTATTTTTATTTTATTTATTTATTTATTTATTTATAGAGAGGTTTTTGCTATAGGGCAAAAAATAGTGCGTTCACCAGAAAGACAAAGACAGCGAGAAATCTCCCCCCAGGGTGATGGCCACACCGCAATCCTTTCTCCTCCATTCTCCTCTCGGGATCTTGGGCATGCACACATACGTACCTAGTGTGAGTTTAAGTCGCCAGGTCCAGGACTTGAACAGCAGTTGACTATGTGGGAGTCCAGTGACATAGCCATTACACCATCTACTGGTCCCTGTTTTATTCTTATTTTATCTAAAGTTATCCACAATTTGGTTTAACTTCCCTTTTAAAATCTTTAAACATACTCAAGGGCCACGCAGATGACATGGAGGTTAAGGCAGCTAGACCTCACATGGCCAACTTCGTGGTTAAAGTCCCAGACCTGGCAGCTTGAAAAGCACGTCAGACATATGTGCATCTGTGTCCCCCGTCCTGAGAGGAGAATGGAGGAGAGGGGATTATGGCGCGGCCATCCCCCTGGGGGTGTTTTCTCACTTTCCCTCTCTGTCTCTCCATCTGTCTCTGTCTCCAGTGAGTGCAAACGCCTTATAGCAAAAAATAAAAACTAATAAAACCTTGATCACACTTTTCCATTAGGACGTATTGGTTTAGGTCAATTATATGAACTCAGTTGCTAGGATAGAATTTACCGTTCTAAGGATAGGTTAGTCAAACCCTCATTTACTGCCAGATTTTAAGAATCATGGCTGATTCCTCGAGGACACGGTCAACAGGGCGTGGGGAGCTGCTGGTGTGCTCAGGCTTCTAGCTGTCGGTGAACTGGAGGCGCTTGTCATCGGAGGGCTGATGCCTGCGTGTGATTCTGCTCATAGCCACAATGGAGCAAGGCCCGGTCTTTGTGCTCACGGGCCTGTGGACGCTCATTTCGGAATCTCACGGCCCCGCATTCCTATAAGCTCTGTTACCCAGCTTTGGTGGACGGTTGGTGTCTGTACTAGAGCATAAAATCTGTCTATCTACATAAATGCAAATCCAGCTGAACCCGGTAGAGACTACGTTAGTAAATTAACATTACTTATACTTAGCAGTCTCGCTTTAGGATAATGACTTCTGCAGCGGTGCACAACAGTCCTACTTGAGAGGTTAACGAGATAAATGAAAGTAATAGGGCGGGTAATTCAGGGAGGTGGGAGGATTTGCAGTAAACTAATTACTTTAATTTTATACTTACTTCCAGTTTATACTTAACTAGCACCGGTGCATTTGTGCCCACGACTTATCTTTATTATACTTTTTTTTTTTTAGTTTGCTCTAGGGTATGGTCACCTGCCAGTAAGAGACAGAGATAAAAGACAAAGGAAGAGAGAAAGTGAAACATCACCCCCGAGTGGAGATGGCTATTCAACAATCCCTTTTCCTCTCCTCTCCTCTCCAGATTTGGGGTTGCATACACATGCACTCAGGGTATTTTTCAAGCCACCAGGTCGAGGACTCGAACTGCACAGTTAGCCATATGGGATCCAGCTGCCTTAACCTCCACTCCACCTGCTGGCCCTCCACACCACCATTTTTTTTAAAGAGAGATTTTTCACTACGGGGCACTGTGCTCACTGGAGAGACAGAGATAGAGGCAGAGAAATAGAAAGTGAGAGATCACCCCTCGGGAGGATGGCCACACTGCAATCCCTTCTCCTCCATTCTCCCCTTGAAATTTTAAGCACGCTCACAAATGCACCCGGCTGAGTTTTGTGGACAGAAGTCTGACTGCTTTTTCCCATTTTTCCAAAATCCTTTCCAGAAGGCTTAGAGGGAATCACGCCCACAAATGTTAACAGACCATTTTGACCCATTGGTAACAGGATTCTTCCTAATCCTGCCCCTAGCATAGTATTGGGGTGTCTTTGTGATGTGTATTAAGCCTCCTTCTCGCTGTTAAAGGACATTCCTTTCTGATCTCAGCAACCTTCCTTTTCCAATCACCACCCTAAAAACTGTAAACCCACCTATAACCTACAAGCAAGCCCCCCCCAACGTGTCCCACCTTTTTGGGCCAGACCAACGGAAACACTTTTCACTAAATTTCAAACTCTGCCTCTTGCTCTCAAAATAAAATAAAAGGAACCCCTGTACTTGATCACCCCAAGAGAAAGGCATGTCTTGCCTCCTCACTCATTCTGCTTAGAAATAAACCACATTCATTATTATTATTTTTACGGAGTTGGTTATTTTCCGTTGACAGTTTCGAATGTCTGGGTCCAGGATTCGAACCTCAGACAGCCATGTAGGAAGAACAATGTAACGC